AAGAACTTTGATAGAGGTGTTAGTTCCACCGACCTACTAGGAGCATTTGTGGTTTTACAGTAGCCCACTAGCAAATATAACTTGGACAAGAAAAGATACATATTGCAGAGCAAGACAATGACGCTTTTAGCTCATAACTGCACTTCAGTTCTTTCAGCTGGAAGAAATTTCTTCATGGTGCTCAAAAAATGTTACTACGGGGCAGTATGCATGTTGCAATACATCTTACGCTAATGAATATATTCAATACTTCATTGAACAGTTAGGGAAAGAATAATGTTATGGTGTATTTACAAAATTCATTATGATGGGAAGAGGGTCTTTTCATTACCTAAAATAAATTCAGTAAACTGTTAGCGTAGGAAAAAATAATCTCAAGAGAAATATCCACGTAGAAGCTGGGAACACTAGAGCTTCTGCCTAGTGTTTCCCATAGACTGATTTGTCAGGAACAGAGTAGGTAAGTCGTTCTTTTGTCCTAGACTTGATGCACTGAAAGTTTCACAAGAAGCACAGTTGTCCCAAAGATCCTTAGTGCAATCCCAGGTATATCAGTGACAGCCAGGGTCAGCCAACGAGTGGTCACTGCACTACACCAACCAGTTGTTCCCCCCCTTTCCTCTGGCAGTATGGCTCATATGAAATAGCAGATCTTATACCACTGGAGGACTGTGGCATGGGTACCTCTGTTAGATGAATGTGAATATTCCGCGAAATCTGGTCTTATAACAATACTAAAATTGCACCAAGGAAGCTGGAAATACCATATGAGAATTACTGGAGGCAAGGACTTACTAGGAGAGTTGCTTTTGCACATAAATTTTTCATTTTTTTAACTTTAGGCATCTGAAAATGGGGGAGGGAGCTATATCAGAATAGCTACACGAGATTGAATGTATCCCTGCTTATGGAATTCAGCTCCAAATTTCTTTATGGCTAGAATATGACAGAAAGTCTTAAATTTACAGCTTCCAAAATCAACAATGCTTCTTGAGTAGATGCATTTTAAGTAAAGGTAGAACTGTTTACAACTTTTGTTCAAATGTTAAAGCAAAAGATGATCGGCAAGTAGGGTGTTCTCAGTGACACAGTAACTATATGTGTGCCTAACAATTCAGAGGCATTTTGCAAATACATACACGTATTTCATAGAAATGAACAGTGAGTGATGCATTCATATACACTGGCCATTGAACGTGAACTGCTTATCAGCAGCTAGGAAATTTCACAACAGATTCTCTCTATTGTGAGCTCTGAAACCTGAGTATCGGGGGCAAATAAACCTATTTGCAGCAGCCATCTACAGCTATTTAAGTTCAAGTCATGAACTGCTTAACTGGTGAAGCAATCAAAGATACTGTCTCCAGGCTTAGCAGACAGGCTGTCAGCTGAATTCATACGGAGGCTTAATTCTGTGCCAGCAAAGCATGATCCTTTTAAATGAGGTCTGAAGGATACCGTAGAAGAATGGTGTGAAGAAAGTGTTGTCATTTTATAAATGACTGTTCTCTGGACTTGTTTGTACAGAGGTGTCTATCAATAATCAGTATTTCATCATGATAATCGATATGATTACCACAATACGGTCACAATCAATATTCAACCATAACTGATAATCAGCCTTAACAATCATTAAAATCAGGACCCTGTTTTTAAAGTCAGAGAGCTGCTGGCCTCAACACCTTTGGAAATAAGACCGGTAAGGAAAAATACTGTGCATTTAGCACACTATTCTCTGTATTGTAGAAAAGATACACAGAGATGAATAGTTTTGAGGAGAATTAGTTTCCTCTCTTAATGCAGGAGAAAATAAATGCAACACGAGTGAATTAGATCTCACAGGCATTAAAATGTTTTGCTATTCATATGCATGAAGCTATCTAAACCATATCCTAATATGAATGGAACAACCTATTCCTCGGCTGTACAAATAGAATTGATTCCTTCCGACATATGCAGATGAAGACGCTGGGATACCATTACCTTTTTAAACTGTACTCTACAACAATCTGCTTACCCAATGTTAAGCTTCATTGCAGCTGTGGATCCTTTAGTGGGTAGGTGTAGCCCTACTTCTCTACAGCTTGTCTGCAGGTAGTTTTCATGCCGTTTTAGCTGATACCAGTTTTATTCAGATGAAGTTAAGTAGTAGAGCCCACTAGCTTAAAAACAATTACACGTGAATAAAGCTGCTTATACTTCTCTATTTCCCCAAATTTACAGGATTATGTTTTACTGTTTATAAATGCCATTGTATTAGTGGAATTAGATGACTGTATAATCACATAAATACAGAGCTGTGTAGTATAAAATCACTAGCAAAAATTACTGAATTAGTACAAGACCGTGCTGAGAGCAGGTTTTGTGGGGAGGAAAGAAAGAAGAGCTCCATATATCTCGCACGTGTTGAGGAAAGGCAATCACAAAGCATTGGGAGCGCTGAAGAAGGGTAAAAGTTCACGGTTTGATCCTGAGGTACTGCAGCATAGTTCTACATCCACATCACATACACAGAAAACACATTGTCTCCAGCTCTAACAGGTTTTAGATCTCAGATGTTATTAGCTGCTTTCTGCCTGTGATTGTGATATTACTGGAGAGGTGCAAAGGAGAAGTTAGTAATAGTGTTGTGGAGAAGCAAGGTTAAAAGTGCTAGGAAAGATGTTATCTTTTCTTAGATCCACTAATAGCTGGGGAAAAGAAGACAGAACTTGAAACACAGAAGTCCTCCTTCAGCTGTGAAACTCTGAAACATCAGATTTTAAACTTGGGGGCCGGGGGAAGTCGCTCTGAATATATTTTATGCCCATCATTGTGATCTTTAGAGAGAAAAATAAGAGTCTGTAGATCACATGGGAAAGTTATTAAAGGACTGTTAATAACATAAGAGCAGGTGTATCAAAAACAAGCTAAAAAAATATACAAGATATAAATTACTGAACACATGAATAGTTTTCTGTCTTTTTGCAAATAGCTCCTCTTCAAAAAAATATTGTGGTGTCCCTTAGGGCTGCAGAGTCTTCTTCAGACAGAAGAATGGAAGCGGTTCCAATGGGTGGTGAAGAAGTCAAGGTTATTGCAGAAAGTGCAACCAGGAATGAAGTTTAGGATTCTGACTGGAATATGGGGGACTCAGAAAGAAATCCAGTCTACAGGTGGTAGGAGGGTTGGAATAAGGCACGATTGTCACAGTTCTCAGGACAAAGGGAAAGAACAAGCAACTTTAGCTGCAGGAGCAGAAGTTAAGACAGTAATGGTGATTCCCTAAGGATTAAATAGGCTTCATCTAATACATCATGCTATTCCAAAAACTGTTTTTTAGTAAGAACTTTCAGAAAGGAAGGAAGAACAATCAGGTAGAGAAAGAAATAGAGCATCTTAAACTGCTGGTTTTTTTCTTAAGGTATGAAGATGTTCTGCTTTTTTTGTAGGGTGATATGTTACTTCACATAAAAATGGTAGTGCTTTTATGCCAGACCAAGTGGAAAAATACTGTTGTGGTTTAACCTCAGCCGGCAACTAAGCACCACACAGCCGCTCGCTCACTCCCCCCCGG